CGTCAATAGAAGAAGCCAGAAAAATAGCTCAAAAGAGATCTGATGATTATCATAATGTAAATAAAGAAAGATATGATATTCATTTTAAACCTAGTAATTTTAAAATTGGTGATTAAGTAATGTATGAAGAATTTCAATACCCTAATACACGTAAATTATCTTCTCCATTCTCAGGACCTTATAAAATTTTAAAACAATATTTTGAAGTTACTTATGAAATAGATAAACCTAATCCTTTAACTAAAAAGAAATCAGAAATTGTTCATTCAACTAGATTAAGACCTTTTAATCCAGCAAGTGAGTTTATGTTAACTGTCAGAAATAGTAGAATTCCTATCTCTGTTCAAAATTAAAATTAATTTTTTTCAAAATTCTCTATTAAAAATCTTTCCTGATTATGACTTTTAATACCTGATTTAGACTTAAACCCTAATTATGACAAGTTATTTTCCCGACTATGACAAATTGTTCTCCCGATCTTGACCTTTTATATTTTTCACATAATTTGAATTCATTTGTAGCAAAAATTTTCTTCTTATTGTAGGATAATATTTATTTCTAATTTACAAAATTATAAAAAAGACATTAACTTGATACTTTAACTTGATTATACAAGTTATCTGTCTTATAATTTTGATTTTATATGATCTTTTATTTTTCTCAAACCACTTTGAGATAATGTACAATGCCAAAAACCAGTTACCTGGTATTAGGCAACGGAGGTTTTTCGATATTTGTACCTAGCACCCCCCAACCATCAGCAAGTAATCACGCTGATCTGTTGGCGAGGACATGCCATAGTTTTAAAGTCAAAGTGTTTATGTTCTAGTGTATAATTGTATTATTTATATTGAATTGTTTTTTGAATAATTATAATATTTTGTATTGAAGTGTAAAACATGTCAATATTTAATTGCCTACGATGAGAGGAAAAAAATGCATCATATTTGTGAACTATCAACATGCATCATATTTGTGGACTATCTGGCATTTAGAGATTTTACCAGATATTTTCATTCTATTCGAACTCTTTTTATGAAAAGGACTTTCAAAGAACAAAATAGACATTTTTAACAAAATTGAGGACTTTTGTAATTATAACTTATTTATTTATCAATATTCCATATTTATTATGTTATAGTTTTAAAATTAGTCATATATTGTATATTTATTTATAACTCATAGTTTTAATATCCAAAATTTCATATGCTATAAAGTCAAAATTTTATATGAGAAAGTCATGAACTATGATAAGCCATAGTTAAAGCTTGTACGCTATGTTCTGGATGTTTTCATGTCTTTTCTCATACTTTTGCTTCAATCCTGTACTAATGCTTTTCCCACCCCGGCCTCTCTTTTTGACGGGGGCAAGATGTAAAATATAAAAAAAATACGATGGCTTTGCTCTTTGCGAACCAGCAACCTTTAATTAATTTTCTGCAATTCAGGATCTTCCCCTAAACCAGTACCAGCTAGAACATTCGCACCTATTACATATATATATATATATATATATATATATATATCCAATGCATTATACAGTACGGAAGTTGCGGGTTCTTCCCTTTCTCCAGAAAATCTCGAATATTGAAACCGTTACAATTCGCACCAAAGCAAGCAGCGGACTTTATTTATTTATTTATTTATTTATTTTATGGTAACTTTCCAACCTGGATTGAATAGGACTAAAATTTCTGCGGTCTACCAACCCAAGCGAAGAATGATTCTATTCCAGAAATTTAACGCAGTCTGTTCAAAATTAGAATGAAAAACATCCCAGATTGGTAAATCTCTTTATTAATGAATATGAGTAGGCAGGGATATCGTGCAGACCGCGACGTGTCTTGCTCAATGATAAATATGCCACATGGGCGCTTGACCAAAGAATCTATAGGGGAATTCTAGTCTTTGGCTTGACGGTGAAAACCGAACGAAGCAAAGGGGCGTTTTCCTTTATTTAGTTATTTGTTCTCGGAATACCGGCAGCCGTTGATTCCGATTGAATCGTGTGGAAGAATTGAGGCGCACGTATTGCGCAATGACGTTTGCGATATTTTGCAGAGATAAAAAGAGTTTTACTGTGCTTGCTAAGCAGATTATTTTCAGTTCCATTGGGCTATTTTTTATATGATGCGCATATCGAAATGTCAAAAGCATTATTTAACTGAAAAATCTAGAGAACAGGTACAATCTACCCACCTTCCTCTTTTATCAGTTACGCTCGACTATTCGGCAACTTCCGAGTATGCCGGTTAGTTAAGCTTTTACTGCATGAAGCAATTTCCCGTCTTCCGATTTCAGAAAAGTTCCTTTTTTTACTTATTTTTGCTTAAATTACTTTGCTTGCAATATCTGTTAAGGGAAAACTGTTATACAATGAAAATTTAGAAATTGTTCAGAATTTTGATTTAAGTTATTTAAATATTTTAATATGAGTGGAAAAATAAATTGTATTTATTTTTAGGTGCCAAGTGAATATAATAAATATGGTTTATTTATTTTCTCTGTTTTTAATTGAAATTTCATCAATTAACCTTATAATATAATTTAGTTCTGCATAGTTTTTTTTTCCTCTCATAGTAAACTAGTTCTGTAAATTAAACTGTTATTTAAAATTTAAAAAAAAAAAGAATGTAATTATTTTCCATGGTTGAGTAATGCTCATTATCTCTTAATAAATTCTGAATTTCGCATATTTTAAATTACAAGGTCTAATTTCCTTTTGAGGTTATGCAGTTGTGTATAATGTAATTAGACAGGTGCTTATTTTTTTTAACTAAAATGTGGCTACAAACCCTGTCTTGAGATGTTAGAAATTTTCTTGGCCTTATTCAAATATTGATATTCTAGAGACAATTAAAATATTCACTCCAGTGATAAACAAGGAAGTATCTGATCTACTTAAGAAAAAATATACGGAGGATTATTTTTCCTAAAAGAGCAAGCCATGTGCAATTCTATAGAAAGGTTTCATCTGACGTCACAGCTTTGAATGCCCACAAGGGAACTACTAGGATTCAAGGTCAAAAGGAAACTTTACAGGCTAATTTCTATTTAGACAGTTTTAGTTTATACAAAAGTAACGCCTGTTTGCATTATTGCCAAGGAAATATCAACCTGGATTGAATAGGACTAAAATTTCTGCGGTCTACCAACCCAAGCGAAGAATGATTCTATTCCGGAAATTTAACGCAGGCTGTTCAAAATTAGAATGAAAAACACCCCAGATTGGTAAATCTCTTTATTAATCAATATGAGTAGGCAGGGATATCGCGCGGAGCGCGACGTGTCTTGCTCAATGATAAATATGCCACATGGCGCTTGACCGAAGAATCTATAGGGGAATTCTGTAGATTCTCCTTATAGATTCTTTGGCTTGACTGTGAAAACCGAACGAAGAAAAGGGGTGTTTTCCTTTATTTAGTTATTTGTTCTCCGAATACCGGCAGCTGTTGATTCCGATTGAATCATGTGGAAGAATTAAGGCGCACGTTGTTTGCGCCTTATGTAAATTTTGATTTTGTTCCCTGCAAGAGGGCGCCTGCGAGCGCCGAACTACCTGTATATCTATTGTACGAACTTGTTCTTCACACAGTCTAATAAACGCAGTAACGAACGTTTGTGTCTACTTTCCATCCGCTAACATGGTCCGACGTGAGCATTTCTTTGTCCGTCGAGTGCATTTCTTTGGATGATGTGTCAAGACAATTTTTAACGTTCTGGTATAGGAGGACATTTCGTGCAAGGAAAACGGATTTATATTTTGTCTGGATTGTGAAAACAGCGGCAGGAATATGGAGTCGATTTTAAAGCAAAAGCGAATCATTAAGGGTAAGTTGACTCGTTTAATTTCACAAGTAAATAGTTTACAAAATCTAGAAAATCCTTTTTCTGCCATTGAAGTATACGAAAATGATGTTGGTGCATTAAGTGTTGAAGTGAACTGTTTAAACGATAACATTCTTGGTACTTGTTCTGACGCAGAGTTTAGTAAATATGAAATAGAAATGAATGAACTATTTTCCAAATTAGATGTATTAAAAATTACTTTAAAGGAAGAATCAAGAAAACTTAGAAATTCAGGCAAAGATATAATAAATGCTAATGCAAACGGCTTGAAACTTCCTCACGTGGAAATGCCAGTGTTTACTTCTAATTATGTTGACTGGATATAATTTAGGGATTTATTTCTTGCCAGTGTTGGAAATAATAGTACATTAAGTGACAGTCAAAAATTGCAATATCTTAAGCTTTCTGTGAAAGGTGAAGCTGCTGTTTTACTACAATCAGTTCAAATTTCAAACGCGAATTATGAAAAGGCATGGGAAGCGCTTACTGAACGTTATGAAAACGAAATAGAAATAATAAACGCAGCATTAAATAAATTAACTTCACAACCTGTTCTAAAACAGGAATCAGCTTCAGGTTTGCGGAGATTAATTGATACAACACAACAGTGTATTGATACATTAAAAATCCTTAAACAGCCGGTAGAGCATTGGGATACTATGATTATTTTTCTGTTAAAAGGAAAACTTGATCATGAAACACTAAAAGAGTGGACGATAGGAGCATTCGAACAAGAAAATTTCTAAAAAATTCTGCTTTCGCTGAATTCAAGCGTTTTTATTTTAAACAGAGCGAATGCTATTGCCTCTTTGGCGAAGTGCCAGAGGGAGAAGGCAGTTTTGCCTTCTGAAATTAAAACTCGCGGTTCAGGTAGCAAATACGCTTTTTCGTCCCAACTTGTAGCTAATGTGTGCGTTCATTGTAAGAGTAATTCTCATTCTCAGTTATTTAAGTGTGATAGCTTTTTAGAACTCCCTATCAAAGAAAAATGGGATATTATTAAAAGGAATAAATTATGTGCTAATTGTTTGAAAGATAGTAAAACGCATCCCATTTTTAAATGTCGTGCAGGAATGTGTAAATATTGTTCGAAGCCACATAATACAGTGTTATGTTCGAAAAATTCAAATGATGAAAAATGTCATATACCCATGGAACACGGAACTTCTGCTATTAGTAGCAATAACGCCATGGTGCCTGTCACGCAAGCAGTTTTATTGCCTACTGCGATTGTTTATGTTAAGGATATTAATGGCGATTTACAAAAATGCAGGATGCTAATTGATTCAGGTAGCCAGGGCTCATTTATTCGGGAGCACTGTGTAAATTTACTGCAGCTAAAGCGCACTAGTGCAAACATAAGTGTAAATGGCCTGAGCTCGCAAAAAATTGCAAAGGTTTCAGGTTCAGTTCAATTACAAGTAACATCTCCATTTTATAAAAACGCAAGCATTTCAGTTAATGCATTAATCATACCCAAGATCACGTGTGACCTTCCTCAATATCAAGTTGATAGATCTGTTTCGACATCTTTCAAACATTTGTGGTTGGCAGATACAAATTGTTTCCAGCCTGGCCCAATAGATATTCTTTTAGGCGCAGATGTATTTGGCGAGATAATGCTTCATGGACGTTTAACTGTTCCGGGTCATTCGTTAACAGCCTTGGAATCAATATTCGGCTGGGTCATTATCGGAAAGACTAAACGTGTATCACAGACAATTGTATCTAATCATGCTAGTTGTACCAATGTTCAGCTCCAGCTTGAAAAATTTTGGAAATTGGAAGAAATTTCGGAGATAAAGCATTACACAGAAGAGGAAACTGAATGTGAAAATCATTTCAAGCGGAATTTTTCTCGTGATTCAATAGGTAGATTTGTTGTTAAGTTTCCATTTCGTAGATCGGGAAATGAACTTGGGTCATCAAGGGATGTTGCTGTACATCGTTTACAAAGCATTGAACATCAATTTATTAATTTATATAAATCTCTTTCCAGTCAATATCACAAATTTATGGAGGACTATCAACAACTTGGTCATATGGAATTGATTCCAGAAAATGAAATTGATGTTCCAGCTAATTCTAGTTTTTACCTTCCGCACCATTCAGTTCTGGATAAAAATGGTGATAAATTTCGAGTCGTATTTTATGGTTCTGCAAAATCTTCTAGCGGTATTTCTCTTAATGAGAAATTGATGGTTGGTCCACAGTTGCAGACTGATCGAACAACATTAATTATTCGTTTCAGAATTCACAGAATAGCTATAACTGTAGATATAGAGAAAATGTACAGACAAATTATACTAAAAGAAGCGGGCTTTCAGAGAATAGTCTGGCGCGATTTACTTTATAAACCAATTCAGGATTTTCGATTAACTAGGATTGCTTACGGTACTGCATCAGCCCCGTACCTTGCGGTAAGATGTTTATAGCAGTTAGCCATAGATGAAGCAACTAATTTTCCTTTGGCTTCCAAGACATGTCTTAGGGACTTCTACGTTGATGATTTGATGTCCGGAGCCAATTCAGTTACTGAAGCTATAGAATTACAAATGCAATTGAATCAGATGTTGTCACGTGCAGGATTTGTTCTAAGAAAATGGGATTCTAACAGCAAAGAAGTCTTGAATTCAATTAATCCAGATTTGTGCTTATCAAATGTTTCTTTGAACATAGACAATGATGATACTATAAAAACGTTAGGTATCCTGTGGCATCCAGCTTCAGATATGTTTTTATTCAAAGTCAATTCATCATATCCTGAAGTCTTAACCAAACGAACATTACTTTCAATAATCGCAAAGACCTTTGACCCTCTTGGATGGTTGGCACCGATCACGGTTCGGTATAAATTGATTATGCAAAGATTGTGGAAACATCAGTTGCAGTGGGATGAAAAGGTTCCTCCAGATATTGAATGTGAGTGGAAACAACTTACAGAAGATATGTTATCCATTAAAAGTATCAAAATTTCACGATTCTTGTTGGTTGAATCAGATAACCAGTTTCAACTGCACGGGTTTTGTGACGCCTCAGAGAAGGCGTACGCCGCTGCAATTTATTATCGTTCTGTGTTAGATACTGGACAAATCAATGTTCAGTTGGTGATAGCCAAGACAAGAGTTGCACCACTAAAAAACATATCAGTTCCCCGATTGGAACTTTGTGGAGCATTACTGTTGACTAAATTAATGGATTTCTCCTGTAGGGCTTTAAATACTCCTATATCGCAAGTTTATTTTCATACTGATTCCACTATTGTATTAGCCTGGATAAGATCTCATGCAAGCCGATGGAAGACCTTCGTCGCCAACAGAGCAGCAAAAATCCAGACTTTATCTTCTCCTGTTCAGTTCATCATGTGAGTGGAAATGCTAATCCTGCTGATCTTGCAACGCATGGTGTGTCATCATCTGCACTGGTTACTTCATTGTGGTTACGTGGTCCAGATTTATTGTATAATTTATTTCCTTTTCAGCAAGCATTGTCCGCACCACTACTGAATGATTCTGTGCCAGAGCAAAGATGTGCTCTACAGTCAACAACTGGTGCCAGTCACTTGACAGACGCTCATGATTTATTTAATAAATATTCTTCTCTCACTAAACTTAAACGTGTTGTAGCATTATGTCTGAGGTTTGTAAATAACTGTAAAAATTCAGAAGATCAGGTAAGTGGATTTTTAAAAACAAGTGAATTAACTAAAGCTATGCATGTGTTAATTAAATTAATGCAATGTGTTGAATTTAAGAATGAAATTAACACTTTAGGCAGAAATCAATCATTATCTGGTACAAGCAAAATTTTATCTTTAAATCCATTTTTAGATAATTTAGGTATTCTCAGGGTGGGCGGTCGCTTGCGACATGCAAACCTTGCATATGGTTTTAGGCATCCAATTTTGCTTCCAAAGAAGCACATTTTAACTCATCTCATTGTTAGACATTACCATGAAAGACTTTTGCATGCAGGTCCACAACTTATGCAATCTTGCATTCAAGAACAATATTGGATCATAAATATTAGAGCTGTTATCAGAGATTTAGTTAGGAAATGTATAAAGTGTTGCAAAATTAGAGCATCTGTCACTAATCAATTGATGAGCGATTTGCCGTCTAGTCGCGTTTCGCCTGCTCCTGCGTTTTTGCGCTGTGGAGTGGATTACGCAGGTCCTTTTCAAATTAAAGCAAATAAGGGTCGAGGCTCTAGGTCATTCAAGGCATATATAGCTCTATTTGTTTGTTTTACGACAAGAGCTATTCACCTAGAATTGGTGACTGATCTTTCAGCAGATGCTTTTATTGCAGCTCTTAAGAGGTTCATTTCCCGCAGAGGCAAAAGCAGTGATATATATAGCGATTGTGGTTCCAATTTTGTTGGAGCAAAACGCAAACTGATGGAATTTGAAAGGCTTGCTAGGTCTTGCAACTTATAACCAAAATGTTAGCAGATATTTGGTTGATAATGGCATTAAATGGCATCTAAACGTTCCAGGTGCGCCACATATGGGTGGACTCTGGGAAGCTGGCATAAAATCAACAAAATACCATTTAAAACGAGTAGTTGGTGAGGCGAGATTGACATATGAAGAATTTGAAACATTTCTCACACAAATAGAAGCTTGTCTTAATTCGCGACCTTTAACAAGTTTGTCTAATGATCCAAATGACTTGTCAGCATTAACGCCTGGTCATTTTCTTATTGGTAGATCATTAACAAGCATTCCTGAACCAAATTACATTGAAGTTTCCCATCTCCACTAGATGGCAACATATTCAAAAAATGGTTCAACAATTTTGGAAAGCGTTGGCACAAAGAATATCTGTGTCGATTACAACAAAGACCAAAATGGCTTTTGCCAACTAAAATCTTCAAGTTAATGATCTGTGTCTCATAAAGGAGGATAACTTACCTCCAACTAAATGGAAAATGGGTAGAATTACTCAGTTACATCCTGGTCTTGATAATATTGTTAGGATTGCGACTATTAAGACTTCAAATGGCATGGTTAAAAGAAATATTACAAAATTGTGTCCATTACCAATTTGAGTTTAATTGATGTATTATAAATTAAGTATTATATCATGATTTTAATATTGTATTGTGTTTTAAATTTACTGAATTTTAAGCACTGAATGTTGAAATAATATTTCAAGGTGGGCGGCATGTTTGCGCCTTATGTAAATTTTGATTTTGTTCCCTGCAAGAAAGCGCATGCGAGCGTCGAACTACCTGTATATCTATTGTCTACTTTCCATCCGCTAACACACGTATTGCGCAATGACGTTTGCGATATTTTGCAGAGATAGAGTTTTACTGTGCTTGCTAAGCAGATTATTTTTCAGTTCCATTGGGCTATTTTTTATAGGATGCGCATATCGAAATGTCAAAAGCATTATTTAACTGAAAAATCTAAAGAACGGCTACAATCTACTCCCCTTCCTCTTTTATCAGTTACGCTCGAACAATATGGAATATTCGGCAATTTCCGAGTATGCCGGTTAGTTAAGCTTTTGCTGTTAAAAAATGACTGCATGAAGCAATTTCCCGTCTTCCGATTTCAGAAGATGTTCCTTTTTTTTACTTATTTTTACTTAAATTACTTTGCTTGCAGTATGTGTTAAGGGAGAACTGTTATACAATGGAAATTTAGAAAATGTTCAGAATTTTGATTTAAGTTATTTAAATATTAATATGAGTGGAAAAATAAATTGTATTTATTTTAGGTTTAGTGCCAAGTGAATATATAAATATGGTTTATTTATTTTTTCTGTTTTTAATTGAAATTTCATCACTTAACCTTATAATATAATTTAGTTCTGCATAGTTTTTTTTTTTTCCTCTCATAGTTAAACTAGTTCTGTAAATTAAACTGTTATTTAAAATTTTAAAAAAAAAAAGAATGTAATTATTTTCCATGGTTGAGTAATGCTCATTATCTCTTAATAAATTCTGAATTTTGCATATTTTAAATTACAAGGTCTAATTTTTCTTTTAAGGTTATGCAGTTGTGTATAATGTAATTAGACAGGTGCTTATTTTTTTTCTTAAAATGTGCTTGTAGGTGCTTATTTTTTTAACTAAAAAGTGGCTATAAACCCTGTTTTGAGATGTTAGAAATTTTCTTGGCCTTATTCAAATATTGATATTCTAGAGACAATTAAAATATTCACTCCGGTGATAAACAAGGAAGTATCTGATCTACTTAAGAAAAAAATATACTGAGGATTATTTTTCCTAAAAGAGCAAGCCATGTGCAATTCTATAGAAAGGTTTCATCTGACGTCACAGCTTTGAATGCCCACAAGGGAACTACTAGGATTCAAGGTCAAAAGGAAACTTTACAGGCTAATTTCTATTTAGACTGTTTTAGTTTATACAAAAGTAACGCCTGTTTGCATTATTGCCAAGGAAATATCAACCTGGATTGAATAGGACTAAAATTTCTGCGGTCTACCAACCCAAGCGAAGAATGATTCTATTCCGGAAATTTAACGCAGGCTGTTCAAAATTAGAATGAAAAACACCCCAGATTGGTAAATCTCTTTATTAATCAATATGAGTAGGCAGGGATATCGCGCGGAGCGCGACGTGTCTTGCTCAATGATAAATATGCCACATGGGCGCTTGACCGAAGAATCTATAGGGGAATTCTGTAGATTCTCCTTATAGATTCTTTTGGCTTGACTGTGAAAACCGAACGAAGAAAAGGGGTGTTTTCCTTTATTTAGTTATTTGTTCTCCGAATACCGGCAGCTGTTGATTCCGATTGAATCGTGTGGAAGAATTAAGGCGCACGTATTACGCAATGACTTTTGCGATATTTTGCAGAGATAAAAAGAGTTTTACTGTGCTTGCTAAGCAGATTATTTTTCAGTTCCATTGGGCTATTTTTTATATGATGCACATATCGAAATGTCAAAAGCATTATTTAACTGAAAAATCTAAAGAACGGCTACAATCTACTCCCCTTCCTCTTTTATCAGTTACGCTCGACTATTCGGCAATTTTCGGAAATATCACATAATTCGGAAATATCACATAGATAAAAACATTTACTCAGAGAACCCTACTTAGGAGATTGTGTGGCATTTTGTAAAGTAATACAGAAGAAACCCAAAATTCCAGAATAATCTATTCCCTAATCTCTCCAAATGTCACTCTAATGCCATTGTATAAATAGTTATTGTTCAAAATTGGTTTGAAGGAATGTGATCTATGAATGGGGGGAGTGATGAGAGAAAAAGAATTGGGGATCGGACCATTGTTCTATTTACAGGACACCTATAAAATCTAAACAATTTTTTTTTCATGGATATTTTTATTTCTACAAACAGCACTATACAAGCAGAAATATATACATCTGTTTAGAAAAATATAGATTTTTAATCCTAAACAACAGCTCAAAAATAAAGAATTTTAAATGGTAACTTTTTATTGAAATTTATTACGAGAGTCCCTGTTTTTTAAGCCTGTATAGGTAACTTGCGTCTTTATGCAGAAGTTTGTTTACTCCCTCCCCCATTTAATGAAAACTGGACCTGTCCTATACTTAGGACAGTGGTCCAGTATGGATTAATAGTTTTTTTTTTTTTTTTTTTTTGCTAAATCACATACCTAGTGATATTTTACTTCGATGCGTTTAGTGTAACTGCTCCCTTTTTTCTGGGAAGATTTATACACGATATGCTGTTTTCGAATATAATGTTAGATTCCTATTGAACGAAACCAAAGTACCACCGTCCCAGCGATCAGAGACCACGATGGGATGGGCGGAATGCCTGGAGCTATGATTGGTCGTCAACAGTGCTACCCGCCAGTACTACACGGGCTACCCCTCCCTAAAAGAGATTTGCGATTGTCGCTAAGTTTGGACAAAATTTCCCAAAAAACTTTGAATTTCCTGGACATTTCTGGGTCTGGAAGCTTAAGCAATCGCTGTAATAGCAATATGTTTTCATCGGTTTTATAGCATCATGCTATTAAATTAGCATCAATTTTATTGATCAAGCATCAATTTTATTGACCTAAAATTGTATCTTATCCTGAAAAAATTTACTTTTCTTCATATTTAATTTTATTCCATGAGTTTTACATTTTTCGGAGAAATGTTTTTAAGTATTTAAATGTGCATCATCATCAGACCAACCTTATTGGCGCATCATCCATAAAGACTTTACACCTCTGTATTCTTTGGAATAGTCGTCAGTGTAACGTTGCCAGATTGAAACTGTGATTACTGAAAATGTAATTCTGACTGGCTACGTTAAGTTTTGGTACAAAGAAAATGTTGTAAATTAATCAGGCATTTGAGCAGAAAATAAATAAAATGTTTTTTTTTCTAACTCACTTCTGGTAACCATAC